TAATAATAATAATTTAATTGTAAATAATGAACTCCTTCAACAACAAATTAATAATGTTAACTCTAACAATACCGAGCTTTTAACCCAATTCAATTCTCCCCAAGTATCCTATACAAACAACCAATCAAACTCTGCCACCCCAACTCCCCCCATTAATCAAATGAATAGTTCAACATCATATTCCCCACCATCTCAAAATTTAATATCACCAAATATAAGCCCAAATAATAATACGAGCAACAGTAATAATATGATGAATAATAATATGAATAGTAATATTAATAATAACATAAACAATATAAATAATAATATAAATAATAATATAAATAATAATATAAATAGTAATATTAATAATAACATAAACATATAAATAATAATATAAATAATAATATAAATAATAATATAAATAATAATGTAAATAATAATATAAATAATAATAATATAAACAATAATATAAATAATATAAATAACAATATAAACAATAATATAAATAATAATATAAACAATAATACAACACCATTACCAAATAATTTAAAAACTGAAGATGATCAAACGATGTCACATCAGCTCAATGGTTTGGATTATTATAAAAGAATTTCATTGTTAAATAATGCATCATGGGGTAATATTATAAGAGATACTAGAATGCAATTAATATTAGTTTTTGAATTATTAAAATTAAGATCAGAAGGTCAAATGAAAAGAAATCAATTTTATCAAGGTGTAGGTTTAGTACCATTCTCTCTTACCCTTCCAACTCTCGCTCAACAAAATGGGAAGTCAATCAATAAATGTACTGGTTCCACTGGTAAACTTTATTTATTAGAAGATAACAACTTATTTATTCAACATAACTGTGGTGATCTTTTACTTATCAATAAGCTATTTGGTGCCAAAGTTGTACCAATTTCATCATATGAATCTTTTATCGATCAAATAATTAATATTTTTTTTAATCTCAAACTTATTGGAAATGAAGAACAAGCTTTATGCTTAGATAAAAACAATTGTCCAATATTTGCACGTTATTATATAAATGAAAATAATCCTTGTACGAAATAATAATAATACCAATAGTCCTTTAGGTGCTATAAATAATTCACCAAAGCACGACTTAAAATCATCTTCTAATAGTATAGAGGTTAGCCAACAGCTAACCCCAATAATCATTTAATCAATGAATTCACTCTAAAAAATAGTAATAATAATATAAATATAAATAATAATACAACAAACAATATAAACACATCAATCCAAAATATACCTCAATCACAAACCCAACCAATACAGCAACAACCAACACAAAACCTACAATCACCAGTACAACAAAATACACAACAAACACAAACCCAACCAATACAGCAACAAAATATACAACAACCACAAGCTCAGCCAATGCAGCAACAAAATATACAACAACAAAACCTACCTATACAACAACCAAAACCAATTCAAAATGTGCAACAAAACATACAGCAACCAACACAAAATATACAACAACAACAAACTCTTCAACAAAATATACAACAGAATATACAACAGAATATACAACAGAATATACAACAAAATATACAACAAAATACACAACAAAATATACAACAAAATACACAACAAAATATACAACAGAATATACAACAAAATATACAACAAAATATACAACCACAAAATATACAACAGAATATACCACAAAATATACAGCAAACAAAAATATACAGCAACAAAATATACAGCAAC